AGTGCCATTGTTTCTTCCAGAGACTTCAAGGCGTCCTCCACTGAAGTGGGTGCCATGAAATTACTTTACCTTCTCATCTCTGCTATCCTCTTGATTTCTCAAGCCATGACAGGTAAGCCATATCCAGCATCCATCTTCTTAGTTCCAATGAGTTCAGCTTCCCTAAGGATGCTCCTGGGGAGCAGTCGCCAGTGTAGGGTGGAAGGATGTTAAAGGGAAAGTCTCACAAATCATGTTTTCACACTAACTTGGAACCGTGCAGAAATGCTGAAACCTAGAAAGAACAGGGAAGGGGACTTTTCTCACTCCAGACTCTCTTCCTGTCCCTCTCCTGATCTGGCCTTGAACAACAGCTGTCTTTACCCTTACCCATGGCCTAGAGACACTGCATTTAAGGTTTGGCTGCAAGGACAGGAAGTGAAATCTTAGAACCTTATAAAAGAGGAGCATACACACACTTGGAGCCATGGCACTGTGGAGAAATTTAGACACTTATGTTCCATATCTTGGGAAAAGAATACCAAATGTGGAATGAAGGGGAAGAGAAGGGCTTGACTTTCCACCTACGGTTCATCTCTTACATGCCCATGGGGCTGCAGAGAACTTTGACTCCTTGATTTGGGAGGTCATTGACAATTTGGCCCTTGCTTTCTGAAGCAAGTTAGGTGTCCTCGATCCATGTTATCCTTTCCTTCCATTGTATAAATATATAAGATTAAATATTCATCTTCTGTGTCTTCCTGTTAAGGCTTAATTGTACTTCCCTGGCTACCAGTTCGGAAGACTAATAGATAATGTGCTCAGATTTGAGAACAGTTTGGAGCTCCCAGTAGTTTACATGCGAGACACTTGCTTACAACATTTGGGTAGTTGTGAGTCGTGCCCAGGAAGAGGGAGGTAACATTACGAAGTTTCTGACTTACTCTGGAATAATGGTGACCCCCAGGATCCTGTGATAGGCATGTTAGTGAAGTATCTCGATGATGACCATAGTTCTAGTCATGTCCCTTTCAGTGTGTGGACAGAATGGTGCCAAACTTGTCTGTGGAAATGGGATTGAAGCCAGGTTAGGAGGACATGGGATGGATAGACCTTGCATTCAGCCCTGGTATTGTTTTTCCCACATAATGGGCATAGCCAAGAAAGCTACTCTGAGGCTAATATGAGTCACCCTGGGGACATCTGCTGTCTGAATTATGAAGTTGGTAGCTTCTGCTGGTGGTTCATAATATAGAAACCAGACTGCAGAGGGCACCACAGCCCCTGCACTTGGTATAAGCTTTCCTTTTCCTCCAAGTAAGAGGCAAGCAGGAAGCTACATTCAACCTCGAGTAAGGTGCAAGTTGTTTTTCTGGTTCGGAAACCTCCACCTTACGTTTCACCTGACATTCTGAGTCTTTTACTCGTGAAATTAGAAAATTAGATTTACAATCTCATCCTATTATGACATATACATTATAAAACATGGGTTGGTAAGCCTGGGAATTACGTATAGATTTTAGAGTGTTTGGGAGCATATCATATATCTTCAAATGTTTTACTATCTGTGGGAAACAAGCTATTGCATTATAGTCTCAACGATATTCTGTCCTGGGAATATAAAAACATAAAGTCTTAATATATTTGCTTTAAAGCAGCAGGTTTTGAGCAGCTCTATGACAGAGCTCTAGTGGTATGTATACAGGTCCCACGGTATGCTGGTTCTATTGGAATACTTGAAGATTCTCATCCTTCAAATTACAACAAAAAATGCTTTCATTTATACCCAGCTCCTGAAGGCTGGAAACAGGAAAGACAGACTGGGTGGAGAGATTTGATACAGAAGAAAGGTACCTTCATCAACAGTGAGTCCATGGGTGGTATACTACTGGATGGTATAGATTTTTGCACAGGAAGCTTGAGAATTTCTGTCTAAAACAGCTTATGTTCCTTCTACAGATTATAAGCTCCGTTACTGTGACTCTCCTATCAGCGTGTGTCTGAGGCGGAAAACAAAGTGTACTCGTATGCCAGGGTTGTGCCCTGGCAGGAGCTTCTGCTGTGTGAGAACCATGACCTGAGGAATTTACTCTTTCCATTCTTCCTGAATTATACCAGAACACTGAGACCCACATGTGTCATTCTCTTTCTTTACTAATTTTTAGTCAACCATTGAGTACCTATCATTTAAACTGTGGTGGTGAGCTGGAGACATAACTCAAGGTAAACATTAATAAGAAACTCATAGGCATGGAAGTTGTATCTAGGAGCAGATCAAAGACAACTAACTACCTGGTAAGGGCATACCTGACCAGAATCGTAAGAGTTAAGGGCTATCCAGGCAAAGCTGAAGTGATCTAAATATTTTCTGATGTGAAGGAAAAATATGTGTGGCTTTCACACCAGAATTATAATGACCATCATGGGGGAATTAAGAAACTAAGCCATGAGAAACAAAACTTGCAAAGGACTGGTTGACATTTGGAGCACTTCAGATGCTATGCTAAATGGATCTAGTTTGTGTTTTGTATTGTGAAGTAACACTGGAGAATTTTCAGTGGTGTGAAGGATTGGAAGGCTAGAAACAGAAGCCAGTTAGTATATTACACAACTTAAATGGAAATATTTGTAGGCATGGATTCCAGGTTTGGATTAAGATAGAATCAAAGACACGCAATTGGGCTTAGTGAAGAGACAAGGATGGATGGAACAGGATAGCATAATCCTAGGACTTGGGTGGTGGAGGCAGGAGGATCAGGAGGCTTAGGGTCATTCTCAGCTACATACTTTCAAGGCAACCCAGGCCACATGAGACTCTGTACCAAAAAACAAAATAAAAGACATACAGGTAACATGGGGTTCGGTCCTTAGAGATGCAGAATCTGGAGGAAAACTTCCATTGTTGGCTAGTGGAATAATGGACACTTCCAGGAAATTAGGTTCTGGTGTGGAGTTCTAAAGTGTGACTTAGGCAGGAGGTGATTGCTTAAGAGACCTTGGGACTCTTCTGTGGCAGAGGAGGTAGTATTCACCCATGGGAACACAAGGGTGGCAGAGAGTGGGTGAGGAACAGCCACCTTCAAGGTGTGGACACAGGTTAGACATTGAAAAGACATTGCACGAGTTCCTGGTGTTGAGGGTGCCAAACAAAGAGAGAGATGAAGGCCATCTGTGGGACTGAAGTGAAGCCTATGGGGGCTTCGATTGTAACTATCCTGGTAAGCTGCCTTCCTATGTACATTTCAGCAGCAGCACGAACTTGAATATGAAGTTAAAATCATCTTAGCTGTATCTTCAATTCTGATGTCTCCTAGGTAGCCATGCCCAGCTTGAAATACAGATCACTGAATATTGCATTTGGCCTCTGAGAATCTATCTTCTCTGTAGGATCAGTTGAGTTTTTAGAAGGTGGAATTTTTTTTTTCTTACTCTGCCTGGACTGTGAAGAGCAGGCACCCCAGAGCTGTTCACAAGCCCTATTGGTAAGCATTGATGAATTCTTAACGCTCTGGTAAAGGGAAAGATTCTGAATTCCTTAGGTCACCAAGTGGAGTGTAGCTCAGTGAGTTACAGAAAATAATGAAAAATGGGAAGATGATTTAGTGTAATAGATATCCCTGTTATACATTTATGAATGAGTTTGAATCATGGGACCTGTGTGGAATGCTGGATATAGTGACCAGTTCTTGTAACCTTACTATTAGGCAAAGTCAGAGGAGAGAACAGGTTCTTCAGGGCCGAAATCCAGCCAGTTTAGCTGATCTGGAGGGCCTAGGTTCAATCAAAGATTTCATTTCAAATGATAAGGTGGAGAATGCTGGAGGAAGGTACCTAAACTAGCCTCTTGCTTTCAAACACACATGCATAAGTGAACATGCATATACCCATTTGTATCACCCCACCACATACACAGAAAAAACAAATCAGTTCAATCATTATTGATTGTGTCTCTAGGTTTATCCTTCTAATATTTTGGGACATTTTATGTACTCTAAAATCTCTGCCTAATTTAATGTATCAGTTACTTCCTGGTTAACTAGACATTTCTCCAGGGGAACATACAAGATTAGCTTCTCAGAGGCAGCTCAGCCAGCTTCCTGAGGGTTCATGGGGACAGTCACTGGTGACTCCATCTCAACTTTACAGATGTTCATTTAACTCATGTCTCAGTTATTCTATTACTGTGATGAAGCTCCCTGACCAAGGCACGTTACAGAAGAAAGCATTGAACTGGGGACATGTTTACCGTTTCAGAGGGGCAGTCCGTGGTCTTTATTGTGGGAAGCTTGGAAGCACGAAGGCAGGCATAACTCTGGAGCAGTTCCTCACAAGATTTACAATTATTGGCAGAGAGAGAGAAAGAGAGAGGGGGGGGGGGGGGGGGGGGAGAGAGAGAGAGGAGGGGGGAGGGAGGGCGGCAGGGAGGGAGGGTAGGTGATTCTCACATGAGCTTCTGAAACTTGTAAGTCCATTTTCCAGTGACACACTCCTGAAACAAGGCCACACACCCTAACCCTTTCCAAACAGTTCTACTAACTGGGGGCCAAGCATTCAAACATGTGAGCCATCATCGGCCATTCCTATTCAGACCATTCTGTTTCAACTTTGAAGGTCATTGACAAGTTTGCTCAGCCTTGTGTTTTAACTCCACATACTTTCTGATTTAGTTTTCACAAATTGAACCACACACCGTCTCTGAGATGAGAAAGGCAGGCAGGAAGTGTGGATTTCAATATCAACTTCATTTCCTTTTAGCCCCAAACTTTCAGCAAAAGTTCCTTGCTCTTTTTTTAAATCTGTGTGAGCCTTTAATTTCTTGAAGAAGAAGCCAATAACCTGGAAACGCTGGCCCTCCAACCCCACCAACAACAACGCATTCTCCATTTTTCAAGCTCACTGCCATATCACCTAAAATCTACACCCTTGGGAAGAATAGCTGTACATAATGGTGTTTTTTATTTCACAGAAATCAGAGCAGTTGACTACTCTCATGCAGTACTGCCCGTGTCAGCAAGCTGCCATTACAACCTACAGCAGTGCTTGTAACGACTCTTGCATTCTGCAGACAGGATGGAGCACCCGTGGGTTTTCTGACTCTTGCAAATGCCACCCATTTTCTCACATGAACGAAAGTTTGAATTTCTTTTGTGCCCTGTAAGCAGAAGGGAAAGGGGTGAAGAAACGAAACTGAGCTTCGTTAAACCAAAGATAGTATAATTTATCGTGCCTGGAAAGGATGGGGAAAGAGTCCACAAGACCGACGCTAAAACTCCAATGGCTCAGGTGTGCCCTGTGCTGGTAACCATTTTCTCATTGGCAGACTATTAAAGGGAAAATCAGATGAGGAGGATCATTTGATAACGTATGAAGTTCACGTTTCAGTGACTTTGAAGAAGACAATTGGAGGAGAGCCATGCCTCTTCCTCCTCCTCCTCCACCTCCTCCTCCTCCTCTTCCTCCTCTTCCTCCTCCTCCTCCTCTTCC